TAGGTAGGATGGAGGGCAGGTCCATGCCAACCCCCACCCTCCTTGGCCCTTTCTCAGCCTGCATTTGAGGGAGGACAAAGGTCCCTTAGCAGTGGGGTGATGTGCTGGGGTTCTGTGGCCAGGGGCAGGTCATCGGGTGCCAGAGTTCTCCAGAATTCTCCCTAGAAGCCCTTCACGTTCTCTGATCTGAGTTTACAGCCTTGTAGGGCATCCCTAAGGCTGTGGGGCTCCTCTGGCCAGCCTCACAGGCCAGGGACCCCGCTGGGCAAAAGCGGCTGGGGACCTCCTGGCCTCCACCTGTCCCTGTGGTCCCTGCAAGAGCTGGAGAAAGGGTTTCAGGCAGCCCTCTGGGTTTGCTGTTAAAGGCCGGCCCCTGACTGGCCTCTCCTCTCTGTGCACCCCTCTCCTTCCTCACAGAGTGTGGATCATAAGACAGGCACACACACACACTCAAAAAGACAGGCACAGCTGGTCTAAAGCAGAGTCCACTCCAAGAGACAAGGTCGTAGCGCAGGCCTACATTTTCATCAATATTGCCTTTTATCATTGCTCTCTGCCAACCTTTTTCTTTTTTCATCATTTTATTGGGGACTCATACAGCTCTTATCACACTACATACATGCATCCATTGTGTCAAGCACATTTGTACATTCGTTGCCATTGTCAATCTCAAAGCACTTTCTGACTTTTTAATACATTCCCAGTGAACGTCCGAGGATGATCACACAAGAGGTGATGCTGAGCTGCAGTATTGCCTGTAATAACAACAAAACCCTCCCTCCCCCTGGGAATCAGTCCCCCCTCCTCCCAACCCTGCGGGAAAGAGAACACCCTGAGCTGGGGGCTTCTAAGGGTGTGGACCTTTACATGCTGCCCGAATGTAGTACATATAATTATTGATTTTTTTTTTTTTTAAAGAAGGTCAATGCATGTATGGGGAGCTACCCGGATCCCATGAGTCCTTCACAAACAGTGCTGGGCACACATGCACGAGTTCACTGTTAGCCATTCTGTAAGGAACCCCGGCTACGTCATGGATGCTGACTGACTGCCCCTGCACGTTGCACCTTGTGGATTGCAGCCAACCGTAACCGCCATCATGTATGGCACCTCAACATGCTCCCATTCCATCTCCAAGGCATGTCTGAGTGCCCACTGTATGCTCAACCCTGGAACCCAGGCAGAACCAGGCTGGGTCCAAGCGTTCCTGGTTGGGGAGTTGGGTCACTCAGCCCCTCCTGGCCCAGGCAGGCCCCCTCTATCCCTCTGACTGACCACCGACTGCCTGGCACACATCAGCACGTTAATAAAAGCCCGGGGCTAGAAAGCTTACCCAAC